ACAATAGCGGAAGTTCTGTTTGCCAACTTCTTCTGCCGCTTCGGCGTACCTCGAGAGTTACACAGTGACCAAGGCCGTAATTTCGAATCTCATCTACTGAAAGAAGTTTTGCAACGCCTGGGAGTGAGCAAGACGCGCACCACACCCTTGCACCCACAGTCGGATGGCATGGTGGAACGCTACGTCAAGACCATCGAGGAGCACTTGCGGAAGGTCGTCTCATCGCACCAAAGGGACTGGGATGAGAGGTTACCCCTCTTTCTCCTAGCTTACAGGGCATCCACTCACGACACTACGGGCCTGACGCCTGCTGGTCTAGTGTTCGGACGAGAACTACGGCTACCCTGCGACCTGCTGTTTGGAGTACCCCCGGACAAAGAACAACCCACCATCGATTATGCGGCAGACTTATACTTAGCGGGTGTTTCTTCTATCCTAGGGGCAGTAAACTTTATCTCAACAACAATCAACATAAAACCCACGAACATAAGACCAGACCGTATTCCTTTATTTGTGTGGGCTGTAGCAATTACAGCCCTTCTTCTATTACTATCACTACCGGTCCTTGCAGGAGCAATCACCATGTTATTAACAGATCGAAACATTAACACATCTTTCTTTGACCCCGCAGGAGGGGGAGACCCGGTCCTATACCAACACTTATTTTGGTTCTTCGGACACCCAGAGGTATACATCTTAATTTTACCAGGATTCGGGATAATTTCACACATCATCTGCCATGAGAGAGGTAAAAAAGAAGCCTTCGGAAATCTGGGAATAATTTTCGCTATATTAGCAATTGGTCTCCTAGGGTTTGTAGTATGAGCGCACCACATATTTACAGTAGGAATAGATGTTGACACACGGGCCTACTTCACATCAGCAACTATAATCATCGCAGTGCCAACCGGAATTAAAATTTTTAGCTGGCTGGCAACAGTATACGGATCACAATTATCATACAGAGCAACCTGCTTGTGGTCGTTGGGTTTCGTATTCCTTTTCACCATAGGAGGTTTAACAGGGGTAGTGCTAGCAAACTCATCAATTGATATCATCCTCCACGACACTTACTACGTTGTAGCCCACTTCCACTACGTGTTATCAATAGGAGCGGTATTTGCAATCATAGCTGGCTTTATTCAATGATACCCTTTATTCACAGGGTTAACCTTAAACCCTAAATGACTAAAAGCACAATTCATAGTAATATTTGTAGGGGTAAATATAACATTCTTCCCACAACACTTCTTAGGGTTAGCGGGAATACCTCGACGGTATTCAGACTACCCAGACGCCTACACAACATGAAACATCGTTTCCTCTGTAGGAGCAACTACCTCGTTCGTAAGAGTCCTTATATTCATCTTCATTGTCTGAGAAAGAATGAGAACAAACCGACAAATTCTATTCCCAACACAAACAAGAAACTCAATTGAATGACTACAAAATCTACCACCAGCAGAACACAGATATTCAGAGCTGCCGACTATTGTTATACTGAAATAACCAACATTAGTTAATCTATTTTGGCAGATAAGTGCGGTGGATTTAAGCTCCACATATAAAGCTTGTAAGCTTTTTTTAGAAATGACAACATGGGCAAACATAAACCTGCAGGACAGAGCGTCCCCTATTATAGAACAACTAATTTCATTCCATGATCACACGCTAATAATTATTTTAATAATCCTAACAGTAGTGGCCTACATAATAACCACTTTAGCCCTTAATAAAAACATTAATCGATTCGTACTAGAAGGTCAAATAATCGAAGTAGCATGGACAATCATCCCAGCAATTATTTTAATTTTTATCGCAATGCCGTCCTTACGCCTACTCTATCTTATAGATGAAATTCACGAACCAGCATTAACCCTTAAAGTAATTGGGCACCAATGATATTGAAAATATGAGTATTCAGACTTCATTAAAGTAGAATTCGACTCATACATAACACCACAAGACAGAGAAGACAAAAGAACATTTCGCCTACTAGACACAGACAACCACACCGTACTCCCAATAAACTCGTTCATCCGAATTATTGTTACAGCAGCCGACGTACTTCACTCGTGAACAGTCCCAAGACTAGGGGTTAAAACAGACGCCACCCCGGGGCGACTTAATCAATGCAGATTCCTCATCAACCGACCTGGTTTATTTTACGGGCAGTGTTCAGAAATTTGTGGGGCAAATCACAGCTTCATACCAATTGTAATTGAGAGAGTTAACACTAACACATTCATTAACTGAGTATCTAGCGTAAGAGAGTCATCAGATGACTGAAAGCAAGTAGTGGTCTCTTAAACCAGATAATAGTAAATTAGCAATTACTTCTGATGAAAAGAGTTAGTTAACAAATAACATTGGTATGTCAAACCAAAATAGCTCCAAGAACACCCTTTTAATGCCACAAATAATACCGATAAGATGACTAAGATTATTCATTATATTCTCAGCCACTTTAATCCTATTCGCAACATTAAACTACTACACAGTAAGCCCAAAAACCAAAACGAAAAGAGAAAAAGAAACCCTTTCAAAGAAAATATTAACCTGAAAATGATAAGAAACTTGTTCTCAGTACTTGACCCATCAACAAGAAGCCTCAACCTATCCTTAAACTGACTCAGAACCTTCCTCGGACTAACCCTCATCCCAATAAGAATGTGATTAATCCCCTCCCGATACCCGCTACTATGAAATACACTATTAACAAAACTACACAACGAATTAAAAACCCTTCTAGGAGAAAAAAAAACCAATAAAGGAAGAACCTTCTTATTTATTTCCTTGTTCTCATTAATCTTGTTCAACAACTTCCTAGGGCTATTCCCATACGTCTTCACCAGAACAAGCCACCTAACTATAACACTAACATTAGCCCTGCCTTTATGACTGAGATTTATAGTATTTGGTTGAATCAACAATACAAACCACATGTTTGAACATCTAGTGCCACAAGGAACCCCTTCGCCTCTAATACCCTTTATAGTTAGCATCGAAACAATCAGAAACATTATCCGACCAGGAACATTAGCAGTCCGGCTTACAGCAAACATAATTGCAGGGCACCTTTTACTAACCCTGCTGGGAAACAATGGGCCAACAATTGCACAGTCTCTCCTGGGGGTATTAATTATCGCACAAATCCTACTATTAATCCTAGAATCAGCCGTAGCAGTAATCCAATCATATGTATTTGCAGTCCTAAGAACCCTATACTCTAGAGAAGTAAACTAATGACAAGACACAGAAACCACCCATTCCACTTAGTGGAACAAAGACCTTGGCCGCTGACGGGGGCCATCGGGGCTATAGTAACAATGTCTGGCATAATCAAATGATTTCATCAATACAGCCAAGAACTATTAGCAATAGGAGGATTAATCATAATCTTAACTATAATTCAATGATGACGAGATATTGTGCGAGAAGGAACATACCAAGGACTACACACCAAGAAAGTAACCAAGGGTCTACGATGGGGTATAATCCTATTTATCATCTCAGAAGTATTCTTCTTCATTTCATTCTTCTGAGCATTCTTCCACAGAAGACTGTCGCCCACTATTGAACTGGGGTCCACCTGGCCCCCAACTGGAATCCTACCTTTCAACCCACTACAAATCCCTTTACTAAACACAGCAATTCTCCTTGCATCAGGGGTAACAGTCACATGAGCTCACCATGGGCTTCTAGAAAACAACCACACGCAAAGAATGCAAGGATTATTCTTCACAGTAATCCTTGGAATTTATTTTACAATCCTCCAAGCATACGAATATGTAGAAGCCTCCTTCACAATTGCAGACTCAAGCTACGGATCTACCTTCTTCGTAGCCATAGGGTTCCACGGCCTACACGTAATCATTGGAACCACGTTCCTTCTAACTTGCCTACTACGCCAAATAAACCTGCACTTCTCATCAAACCACCACTTCGGATTTGAAGCAGCCGCATGATATTGACACTTTGTAGACGTAGTGTGATTATTCCTATACATCTCAATTTACTGATGAGGAAGATAAAATAAACTTATCTAATATAATAAGTATACTTGACTTCCAATCAAGACGTTTGTATCAACAAGATAAGCAATCATAATAATCACAACTACAGCGGCCCTAGCCCTAACGATAACAGCAGCCGTTATAATTATAACCTCTGCGCTGTCCAAAAAAAATATCGAAGACCGAGAAAAAAGATCACCATTCGAGTGCGGATTCGACCCAAAAAGATCTGCACGACTACCTTTCTCGCTGCGATTTTTTCTCATTGCCGTAATCTTCTTAATCTTCGACGTAGAAATTGCACTACTACTCCCAATGACTGTAGTAATATTATCATCGAACATAAAATCCTGAATAACAATCAGATCTATTTTCTTACTAATCCTAATCGTTGGTTTATACCACGAATGAAATCAAGGGGCGCTAGATTGGGCCCACTAAAAGGGGGTTGTAGTTAAACATAACATTTGGGTTGCATCCAAAAAGTACTATAGGGTCTACCTCACCAAAAGCAAGAAGTGAACTATCACGATCAGTTTCGACCTGACTAAATTGGTAAAAATTACCCTTACTTTAATTAATCGAAACCAAAAAGAGGTATATCACTGTTAATGATAAAATTGAATCAAGAAGTTCCGATTAAGGAAATGTGAGGGTCAAATGAAAGCTGCTAACTTATCATTCTAGCGGTTAAACTCCGTTTACATTTCTATTTATGTAGTTTAACAAAAACACTACATTTTCACTGTAGAAATAAAGGGGCTTTCATAAATACCACTTGAAGGAACAAAACCTCAATAACATCTTCAATGTTATACTCTAAATATAAGATATTCAAGTAAATAACAAATATCAAAACAATAACCCACATAACAAAAAACATTAAAAACAACTTCAAATTGTTATATTGTCACCACTGATTAACCCTGCCTAAGAATATCACAAACCAATACATACCTTGGCCCCCCAACCGCTCCGCTCATCCAAAATCAGAAACCCTTAAAGAATACCCTAATAGTAAAGGACGAAAAGACGCCCCATAAGTAGAAAAATAAGGCATAAATCATATTGAACCAGAAAACACTGTACACCTATAATAAAAAAAAAGAAATTAACGAACCCCCCAAATTAAACCTAGATAACTCATAACCAATTCAACCCCCTAATAAACTAACAAAGATAGCTAAAAACTTCAAATAAAAAGGAAGGCAAATCATATCAGGCACATGAAAAACAGCCCATCTCAACAATCTCCCACCAAAAACAGCAATCAACATCAAACCAACCATGCCGCACAATATCATAAAACTAGCATCACTAACATTATAGAAAGAAGACAAATTAAAATCACCACAAAAACGTAATAAAACAAACGAAAAGAATAACAAACGGTTAAACCTGTAGAAACAAAAAACAACAAAAACCCCACCAAATTAATATATCTAAAAGAAGCCGCTTCCAAAATAAGATCCTTAGAGTAAAACCCTGCAAGAAAAGGCATGCCACACAAAGCAAAGCTAGATACGCCTAAGCAAACCGAAGTAAAAGGTATTTGAACCGACAAATTACCCATAAAACGAATGTCCTGGGAATCCTTTATTGTATGAATAATTACACCCGCACACATAAAAAGCAAAGCTTTAAACAAAGCATGAGTCAGCAGATGAAAAAAAGCCACACTAACAAGCCCAACAGAAACAGCACTAATTATTAAACCCAGCTGTCTTAAAGTGGACAAAGCGATAATCTTCCTCAAATCATATTCAAAATTAGCCCCCAGTCCTGCTATAAACATAGTCAAACCGGAAACAACAAGAAGAAAAATACACAACCAATCACCAAAAGCAGGTCTAAAACGAATTAAAAGATAAACCCCAGCAGTGACTAAAGTAGAAGAGTGAACTAGAGCAGAAACAGGGGTAGGGGCTGCCATGGCAGCTGGTAATCAAGAAGAAAAAGGAAGCTGAGCACTCTTAGTTATGGCAGCCAAAACAACCAATAAAGAAATCAACACCATCTCAAAAGAGCCCCTCAAAAAATCCAAATAATAAATATAATTCCAACTACCAAAATTAACCATCCAAGCAATAACCATCAACAAAGCAACATCCCCAATACGGTTAGAAAGAACAGTCAATATACCAGCATTATAAGACCTCACATTCTGATAATAAATTACTAAACAGTAAGAAACCAGCCCAAGACCATCTCAACCCAACAAAATTCTAATTATATTAGGTCTAATAATCAAAAACATCATAGAAAGAACAAACATCAAAACCAACAAAATGAAACGATTAATATTTAAATCACCGTACATATAGTCATCTCTGTACAAAATAACCAAAGAAGAAATAAAAAAAAACAAACCCCATAAAAATTAAAGATATCCAATCAAGCAAAAAAGTTATAACAACTCTGCTAGAATTCAATGTAATAATCTCCCACTCAACAAAATAAACCAAATCATTCAGCACAAAATAAAGACCACAAACAAACAAATATACGCCAGCAAAAAACAAGAGAGCAAAACTAATAAAGCAAATAGACAAATAGAACATAGGCTTAAGGTAAGAACACATCCCTGACCCCACAAATCAGCATTTTTATTAAACTACTCAAGCAATTACAACCAAAGCATAACAACATCCCCCCTCATAACAAAAAGATTCAACGGAAGCCAATGAAGAAACAATAATAAAAACTCACGGGAATAACCTAAAGAACAAGAATAAACACCAGAATAATAGGCCCCATGTTGCGTATAAGAGAAAAGGTATAAAGTATAAGCAGCTCTGAAAAAAGACAAGACCACCAGAAACAGTACACTAACTCAAGACCAAGACACTAAACTATTAAGTAGTCTGATCTCCCCCAAAAGATTTAAAGAAGGGGGGGCAGCTATATTACAAGCACTCAACATAAACCATCAAAATGCCATTCTAGGCATAAAGCTCGTCAAACCACGACTAATCAACAAACTACGACTACCCGTCCGCTCATAGGAAATATTCGCTAGACAAAACAGCCCAGAAGAACACAGGCCATGCGCAACTATTAAAGCAAAAGAACCACAAACTCCCCAATATCTCAAAGTCATAATACCACCAATAACTAAGCCTATGTGAGCAACAGAAGAGTAAGCAATCAGTGACTTAAGATCTGTTTGACGTATACAAATTAATCTAACCAAAAAACCCCCTACCAATCTCACAGAAACCCAAATCAACCCAAAGCCAAAAAACCTCACCAAAATAGGAAAACACGCAATAAACCATACCCCCCTAATTTAAGCAAAACCCCGGCCAAAATCATCGAACCAGACACGGGGGCTTCCACATGGGCCCTAGGTAATCATAAATGAACCAAAAACATAGGCATCCTAACTAAAAAGGCAAAAATCATACAGAAATACAAAAAAATGCTAAAAACCCTTGCCTCACCCAAAATAAAGAAACTAACAGAGCGTAAAGAACTAAAAACAAAAAAAAATCCCTACCAACATGGGAAGAGAAGCTAATAAAGTATAAAAGAGCAAGTAAATCCCCGCCTGAAGGCGTTCAGGTTGGTATCCCCAACCCAAAATAATAAAGACAGTAGGAATAAGACTACTTTCAAAGAAAACATAAAAAGAAAACAAACCCACTCTCCCAAAAGTACAAAACAAAAAGAAAATAACCAGCAAAACAACAAAAAATAAAAATAAACCCGAATAATAAGCAGAACGCAAAATAGGCTCTCTCGCCATAATCATCAAAACACAAATCCAAAATCTTAACAAAATTAACCCACAAGAAAGATAATCACAACCAAACATATAACCAACACTACCTCAACCCACAAAACTAGGAAAAACAAAAAAGAAAGAGAAAGAAACTACAAAGAACAAACCATGGACCAACCACCAACCCTCGACCAAAAAACATAAAGGGGTTAAAAAAAAAGAGGAAACAAAAACCTTAACATTGCAAGACTCTATAAGACTGAAAAAATCATTACCAAACCCACGAATTATTGACACCAAAATAGAAAGACCCAACGACCCCTCACACACAGAAAAAACCAAAAAGAGTATAACAAAGTAAAGCTCATAATCATAACAACAAAGATAAAAATAAACAACAACAAAAAGAACCAAAACAATAAATTCCAATCTGAACAAAGTAGCCAACAAATGCTTACGATTAGAAGAAAAAACCCAAATCCCACAAAAGAAAAGAAAAGAAAAATAAAGATGTATTAACATTCTAAAGAAGTTTTAATAATTTAATGAAAATATTGGTCTTGTAAACCAAAAATAAGCAGAACCTTTCAAAACTTCAAGGGGAAAGCCTTCTGCCCCCGTCAATAACCTCCAAAGTTAACATTTTAAAACTAAACTACCCCTTGAAATCAAAACACTAATTACAGCAAGAACATTATCAGGAATAATTTTCACACAAATAAATCACCCCTTGGCTATAGGGCTATTGTTATTGACACAAACAATAATGATATGCCTAATTAGAGGTTTAATACATCAAAGATTCTGATTCCAATACATCCTATTCATGGTTTTCATCGGGGGGATATTAGTGCTATTCATCTACGTTGCAAGACTGGCATCAAATGAAATATTTACACTATCGATAAAAATAACAATTATATCAGCCAGAGCAATACTAGCATCAACAACAATAAGAAACAAGCCCCTTCTCGACAGAAGAGACTCAGCAACATACAACACAACAAGAAATGAAATCGTACTAATAACAAGAAAGTTATACAACCAACCAAGAGGAAGTATAACCATCCTAATAGGCCTATATCTACTAATAACACTAATTGTAGCAGTAAAAATTACCGACGTATCAAAGGGCCCATTACGACAAACAATATAAAATGAACAAACCAATACGAACGTCCCACCCCCTAATCAAAATTGCCAATGGAGCACTAATTGATCTCCCCACCCCAACTAACATCAGAACATGGTGAAACTTTGGCTCCCTACTAGGAGTGTGCCTAATTGCACAAATCGCTACAGGGCTGTTCCTCGCCATGCATTACTGCCCCAACACAGAAGCTGCATTTTCCAGAGTAGCACACATTTGCCGAGACGTAAATTATGGATGAATCCTACGAACTATGCACGCCAATGGGGCATCAATATTCTTCATTTGCATTTACTTACATATTGGACGAAACATCTATTATGGGTCATATAAGCTAATACACACCTGGTTAATCGGGGTGCTAATCCTATTCACAACAATAGCAACCGCTTTCCTAGGATATGTTTTACCATGAGGGCAAATATCCTTTTGAGGAGCAACAGTAATCACAAACCTCCTATCAGCAGTCCCTTACATCGGCACAATCCTAGTACAATGGGTGTGAGGGGGGTTTGCAGTAGACAATGCCACACTAACACGATTCTTCGCCCTCCACTTCCTCATACCATTCGCAATCGCAGCACTAGCAATAGTACATTTATTATTCTTACACCAAAGAGGATCTAACAACCCCTTAGGTTTAAAAAGAGATACAGACAAAATCCCATTTCATCCATACTTCGTAACCAAGGACATCGTAGGATTCATCATCCTATTCACAGCCCTATCAACTCTTTCCCTAAAAGAACCATACCTCCTCAGAGATCCGGATAACTTCATCCCGGCTAACCCTTTGGTAACCCCAGTACACATCCAACCAGAATGATACTTCCTATTTGCATACGCAATCCTACGGTCAATTCCTAACAAACTAGGAGGAGTTATCGCCCTAGTAATATCTATCGCAATCCTATTTGCCCTGCCGACCTACAAATCAAAATTCACAGGAACCCAGTTCTACCCTACGAATCAACTAATATTCTGAACCATAACTAACACCGTAGTCCTACTGACATGAATTGGGGCCCGCCCAGTAGAAGACCCTTACATCGTAACAGGACAAATCCTAACCACAATTTACTTCATATACTACATCGCCACACCACTAACAACAAAACACTGAGACCAACTAAATAAATAGTTATAAAGCTACAGGGATAAGCATGTGTTTTGAAAGCACAAATAAAGGGGTTAAAACCCCCTAATAACTTCCATAATACTTAAAATAATACACATTAAAAATGGGGGAAAGGAATAACCTAACCCCCAGAAAAAACAACAAAAAATTTAAAGACAAGGGCAAAAACCCCCTCCATGCCAAATACATTAACTTATCATACCGAAACCGAGGGAGTGTCCCCCGAACCCAAATAAATAAGTAAGAAAGAAAAGAAAGCCTAATATAAAAGAAAAGAGAGTTTAAATCACACCCTAAGAAAATAACACAGAACAACAATCTCATAAACAAAATACTCGCATACTCGGCAAGAAAAATCAAAGCAAACCCGCCTGCTCCATACTCAATATTAAAACCAGAAACCAATTCAGACTCACCTTCAGCAAAATCAAAAGGAGTACGATTAGTTTCAGCCAAACAAGAAATAAACCAAACCAAAGAGAGGGGGAAAGTAAAAAAAATCAACCACAAATAAGACTGAAAATAACGAAAACTGACCAAGTCATAACCACAAACCAAAAAAACAAAAGAAAGTAAAATTAAAGCCAAACTTACCTCATAAGAAATTGTTTGTGCCACAGAACGAAGCCCCCCTAACAAAGAATAATTAGAATTAGAAGATCACCCAGCAACCATAACAGTATAAACACCCAAACTAGTACAACAAAAAAAAAAAAAAACAACAAACCCAGCCCAAAAGAAATAAAACCTCTAAGATAAGGAATTAATGCCCAAACCAACAAAGACAAAAACAGACTAAAAACAGGAGAAAAATAGTAAGACAAATAATTAGAAACCAAAGGAAAATATTGCTCCCTAGTAAAAAGCCTAATAGCATCGCTAAAAGGCTGAAATAATCCTACAAAACCGACCCTATTGGGG